CGCGATTTGCTTGTATCGAGAATTATGGTTCAGGGTTAAAAGGACGAAAATTCGTAAAAACGCCAAAATTGAGATTCTAACAACGCCAAACATGTGTTCTCAACCTGCCCCATTTGGTGCTGGAATACTTCGGCTTGAATGCCGAGTTTTTTTTCTCGCGAAATTTCGACCACCACAGGTCCTGCCGATCATGTACTAACCCCGGGGAAGTGCGTGTGGCGCATTTCTTCATTCCACTGTCAGTCCATGTTTAAAATGAAACGGTACACGGTAAAGTTGCAAATGACGCAAATTTTCTAAGTCCGATACTTTACAGGGTTAGGCTTTAAACGCTGTAATATATCTCGGTTTATGGGTAGAAAGTGCGCAATTTGCTTGTAACGAGAATTATGGTTCAGGGTTAAAGTGATGAAAATTCGTAAAAACAAAAAACGCGAAATTCCATTACAACCCCGCACATGGGTACTCAACATACCCCGTTTGGCACTGGAATAATTTGGCTTGAATGCCGAATTTTTTTTCTCGCGAAATTTCGACCATCACAGGTCCTACCGTTCATGTACAGAACCCGGGGAAGTGTATGTGCCGCATTTCGTCATTATACTGTCAGTCCATGTTTAAAATGCAATGGTACACGGTAAATTTGCAAATGACGCAAAATTTCTAAGTCCGATATTGTATAGCGTTAGGTTTTTAACCCTGTACCATGTATCGGTTTATGGGTAGAAAGTCCGCGGTTTGCTTGTAACGAGAATTATGGCTCAGGGTTAAAAGGACTAAAATTCGTAAAAACGCCAAAATTGAAATTCTAACAACGCCACACATGTGTTCTCAACGTACCCCGTTTGGTACTGGAATAATTTGGCTTAAATGCCGAGTTTTTTTTTCTCGCGGAATTTCGACCACCACAGGTCCTACCGCTCATGTACAGAACCCGGGGAAGTGTATGTGGCGCATTTCGTCATTCCGCTATCAGTCCATGTTTAAAATCAAATGGTACACGGTAAAGTTGGAAATGACGCAAATTTTCTAAGTCCGATAGTTTACAGGGTTAGGTTTTTAACGCTGTACCATATATCGGTTTATGGGATGAAAGTGGGCGATTTGCTTGTAACGAGAATTATGGTTCAGGGTTAAAAATGAGGAAAATTCGTAAAAACGCCAAACTCGAAATTCTAACAACCCCACACATGTGTACTCAACCTACCCCGTTTGGCACTGGAATAATTTGGCTTAAATGCC